ATGTCACAAGTCAATTTTACAGTCATGTAAGAGGCACCTCAAACCATCGATAAACTCCTGCCAAATGGTTCTTGTCCCAAGATATATGATGCTTTTGTGGCACCAAACACAAGCTCAGCCATCGGTCGCGAAAGAAAAACGCCGACTCTTCATGCTACCAGTGGATCCTTTCCCATGACATCATATTCCAGTGACATCAAGAATGACACCAAACTAGTCATGCTGCTTTGTCTTCTGGGGATAACAACAGACGTTGATAGGTCTTTTGGCCCTATACTAAGCCAATTTTAGGTGATTTCGGAGAGTTCTGTTTTATAAAGTCTTGCAGTTCTGAGAAGAGCTGTATTTTCTGAAGGAGTTGTCACTATTGGTTGACACTGACATTCCTTATTAGTCTGCAGGTGTTTTCATACCATTCAAGATGAGATTCAATGGATGACAACCAATATCTCTTACAATTGCCCTCAATGACATGCAAGCATCTCGCATGCCAATAATTTGCCATCTTTGAGCTGTTATCAAGGAAGGAGGACCCACATTTCAGTGTATTTGTTAAGTGTATGGTACCCAAAAGGTCCATGTGTATATACATATATATCTGTAAACCAAGAAAAATCTGGCCATGATGTTACTGCCTGAAGATTAGGAACCTATGGGCCAGGTTCTTATACAAAACCATGGCATGGATATCAGCCAGAACCATTGCTGCCTGTGGTTCTCATCCCACTGCTATCAAACAGTAATGCCTTGCAGTCATTTCCATTGTAGACACACCAAGTCACATGGGGAGTTCTTCATGCTTTTCCATGGTTTGTTGAGAGAGGGGTGACTTCAGCAAGATAAACATGGAGGGATTTGTTTAGAAATGTGTATCTGCCTTTTCACAAAATAGTTGTTGTTTTATGCCACCCACTGTGTTGAGGTTTTGGAAGAATACCAAAATTATTCAGTGTTACATTGTCAAAAGAAACTAGATATTCTTTTGACTTAACATGACAAGTGTTGCTGGTGCAAACAGGATTTGTTAAAATAGGATGCATACAAAATATTTTTAGGTCATTCCTTTCTCAAAATGATAAAGGGAAATAAGATTTTAGAAATTATTTGTATTGAAGGTAAAGGTGTTATGGGATGAAGTGTCTTTGTTTTTATATAGGAACAATCACACTGAACTTGGTTTCTAATGCAAATCTCAGGTGTCATGCATGGGTAACAGCTTCGCGTGTTGCAGGACACTTGAACAAATATATTTTGTGATTTTTGCCACTGCGATTCTAGAGTTGTAACTTTTGTTTCATCTATTTACCACTTGATACTTGAAATGGCTTTGGTAACTTTGAGTACAGAGTTATATTGACTGCAAACTGCTATATAGGACTTCCGAGAAATGTAAGCACATGGTACGTATTTTTTAAGACAAACAAGGAAATAAAATAGAAGAAGTGAATAAATGTTGGCTGAAAATCTTATAGCCGTTAAGTGAGTATTCCAGCTGTATCAAAGGGAGTGTAGATATCAAGTCTCTTGACCAGAGAAGAAACCAGTGGTCAATGTAATGAGCAATGTACACTGCTATCACTGAACCCATCCATCCAAGTCAACTCTTAAAGCTTGAAGTGTTGGTTATTGGGAACCAGTATCGTGCATTACTTTGAATTTATATGTATTAAGATATTTGCTGAATATTTACGATTGGGTACACACAAGGTGTGGAAGAAGCCAGGGAACAAATCTGGTTAACTACAGTAGGTTCTCAGCTTCAACATGTTGGATTAGGAATGTTGAGATTTCCTCTACCATGTCTGCTGATTAAAGTACAGTTTTCAGATAAACGGAACTTTTATTGACAGCCATGTTTTTCACAATAGTTTAGGTTACTGAGGAGGAATTTTAAGGTATGCCCGACAGAGTGAGGATCAGGTTGTAGTGTCCTAGGTTATTATAAGCAATCTGTTCACATACAAGTATCGATCATTCATCGACACTGCTGTCATATTTTCCATTGTCTCATTGACTTCCCTGAGGCAATATGAATGATGTGTCTACCATAGTAAGAGCTCCTGATACTATATCACTTCTTGAGTTCTTTGTACTTGTTGGTAGAGGGACAAATTTTACCCTGTATTACCCCAGTGTTAATGGTGCTGGAAAAGTAGTAATACTCACCTTTTATCTTGATCACTTTAAAGGGAAATATGCTTTATTACTTCACATAAAAATTCATGCCTGTTCCACTGCTTTGTATCATGTATTGGCATGTTTTTGGAAGCTTGTTCATACTAGTGTTACCTTTTGACTTTTAAGTTATAGCACTTCAGCATTTGATTGACTGAAGATGATATGATAGTTCATGGCATTGCAGGTAATCTATGGGCGATAGAGCAAACATAATGATTGGAAGCTGCTGGCTTTTTATGTCATTGAAAAGGCATTTTCACATTTGTTGTAAAACAAACAGTTTTGTATACACAGAATTTAGTGACTTGATGCTCACATTTGAGATAATCTAGTCACAGATATTGTGCAGGTGTTGGCTTGTGAAGTGGTAATCTACTTTAGAGAGATGTCTAAGGTATAAAGCATGATCACTGAAAGGTTTCTTTGTATTTAGTTTTGATTTTCCAAATGCGAGTCATCACTAAAGGCTGTTGCCCATTTCACTCACATTAATGAATTCAAGTTTATTATTCACGATCACCACAATCAAATATTCATTCTACTTTTTGTGTTTTTACTTGAGTCTGACTGAAGCTGACTGAGTTTGTTTTACGCCCGCTTTTTAGCAATATTCCAACGCTTTATCAATGAGGACACCAGAAATGGAGCTTCACACATTGTACCCCATGTAGGATTCGAACCAGCGGGTCTTCGTGCAGAGCCTGCGCGCTAACCACAAGGTTACCCCCACCGCCCGTTTTCATGAGTGTGGGCATTTAATTATCTAAAGAACCGAGGTATGCAAGATGGAATATATCAAGCCAGGCAAGTATAACAGTCAACAATCATATATATTTGATTTGACCACGGCAATGGCTACACTGGTCATTGTCCTGATAAATTAACACTGTCCACATATGGTCAACATGTGTCAAATAATCTATTTTGTTTTTGGTTCACTGAGGTATAATAAATAGCATATCAGCAGCTGATATGTTGTTATTGTATTTGTTACCTAATATTTGTATTCATAATCAATTTGTGATATGGATCATATTCATAATTACTGGATTTATATAGATGGGTTGGTTGGTTTAATGCCGTACTCAGCAGTTTTACAGCTATAAACGGCATGGTCTATGCCATCATCGAGTCAGGACAAGATAATCCAGTGATCAACATCATGAGCATCGATCTACACAATTGGGATCACGATGGTATGTGTCGAAACTAAAGTCAAACCGAGCCTGACCCCAATGCTATGATAACCTCTTCGCGACAAGCATGAGGGATCTCTGCGGGACATTGGTTAATGCTTGATACTTGTTGCCTCAAAACGCGGCTTTTACCTGGATGTTTGTCACTCACACACAGTCCATCAGATTAATGTGATTAATTAAAGCAATAAAAGTTAAATGTGTTGTACCACGGTAACACAAACTTTAAACAGCTGACTTCAATATAGCAAAGGACATGTGAGGTAAGATCATATTAGTCTACGAAATCCTTATAAGTGGTTCTTTCCCCAGCTGCTGACATGCATATCTGAGCCTGAAGACCTAATTTTTATAATAAAAATTAATTTAGCAGCTGATATTAGTATTAATACTGCGGTTTTAAGAGGCTTTAATGTTTTCTCAGCATGGCTGTGAAGAAAAAGTAGTCCAAGCATTGAGGGTGAAGCTGTCTGGTGTAATTCAAATATGTGTGCCAGCAGACTACAGAAGGCATTCATTCTGCGCTGGGTGTGTAGGATCATACACAAGAAGACCAGAGGAATGAGGGAGTTAATACTTCACCAGCTGTTTTAGCTGTTGGAATCTATCGCTGACTTCTCCGACCAAATGATACAAGAGCTATATGTTCATCAAAGTCACCTTGTGTTTGACATCTGGGAGGAAGGGGCTACTTTGGCATTTGTGTTGAAGCTTAACTTGGTAGCTGGATTTGCTCTCTAGATGCCCTTCTTGTTTTAGATTGGATATATGGATATTACAACTGAGTCATGTACCTGTTTCAGAGATTATATGCCTGAGTATAAACTTATGAGCTGTGCACAAGGTTTTGGTGAGCATAGTGTATGTAATATATATACTCAGTATCATGATATTTATTACAAAGAAGCATACAAGCAGTGAGTGAGTTTAGTTTATGCACACTCCTTAATGGCTGAGGACGCTACGTGATCTGTAAAATGTCAGTCTGGACTTCAGAAAATCCAGGGATCAACCATACAGGCAATGATATTTTCTGGTCCATACCATGATGATAGTATATAAACAAACTATTTCCTATGCAGACTAATGATTGCTGAGCTGTATTGCATGAATCAGATATTGCATGCTGTTGTCAACTGTACCATAACTGAGTCGGCTTCGGTGCAGTGTAAAAAAATGAACTCACTTCACTGTCACTACGTGATCATAAATATCTGCTGACCACTGGCTTTCAACGACTATGTCGTGTGTTAGAAACACTCGACCCCAACATTTAGTCCCAGAAATATGGTTATGTGTATGGTTTTGAAGTAAAAATATATCCGTTAAGCTCAAAATTTGAACCATAACCAAATCTGTCTTGGGTAGCATTCAGAACTCATTTTACTTGAGCAAATTTGGGCCAAGGATAATTCTTCAGAACAAAGTAGAACTTGTTTTCAATGTTCCAGAAGATAAAATGACTTCTTTATGCGAATGCTATGATTTATACTAGTATTTGTTTTGAAGTTCCAACGTTTCCACATGTATTAGGTTCCACCCAATTATTGTCACATGTATTTTGGTAAAATTAGATGGAAGCCTTTTAATATGATAATGACTATGTTTGAAATTATTTCATGATAGCTGCTCTCATGGAGCGGTTACATGCCAAAAACATCTGCGATCTGTTCATGCAGGCCTGGCATGAGTATGTATGTGATGTGCATTGCGAGTATATCAGTCGTACATTGCTTTAAATAGCACTGGTATTCTCCTGGCTTACTGGTAAATTGCTTGTCCATTTATCACAATTTCAGACATGTGATCTTTATTAACAACACCAGGAGGCTGAACCGATACCTAAGCAAGAAAGAGAGGAAACTCAAAGAGTGATCCAACTGAAACTGGCGAACAAGTGAATGTTTATAAATCTCTTTCCAGTAGTAATCAGCACCTTTACTGTGTATAAATAATACTAACAAGATCTGTGCTGAACAGGGGTTGGGTTGTTGTGAGGTGAGGGCTGGGCTTTATCTGGTTTGTGGGCCACGAGGGATGAAGTATATAAAAACATGGCCCACCATCATTACTGGATGATGAATGCAGATGATGGGTGGGATCACGATGTCAAGTCACAGCAGGAGCAGGTTTTATGTAAGGATGAAGAGTTGTCAATACATGGGCTTAGGACATGATAATATGTATATGGTGAATGCAGTTGAGTAGCTGTTAAGTTGTGGTTTTTATGTTTTTTGGTTTTGTATGGTTTGACAATTATTATATATCATAGAAAGGTATGAAATATTAAAGAAAATAATTTCATATAAAATTATATTGTTAACACTTTCACAGATGCTAATCATGTTTGCAGATTTGCTGATAGATCTTAAAATTAATCTCTATTTTGTCCCTGTAGTCTTCCTAGTTAGTTTTCACAGTGTTGCCATCTGCCTAGTTGGTAAAAGGATGGTCTTATTTCCACTTAAACAGCTAGCAGTTCTTGTCTGGACTCGTTAAGCTTTTTCATTAGTCTCCTCACGGAGACTTTGATTGTTTCCCAACCACTGTGAAAGCCAAGCAGTGGAACCCTCTCAATCCTGGACAGTAACATTATTCCACCGTGTAAACTGTCAAGATTAATGAACTGACAGATTGTTCATTCCTGGCTACTGTAGCTGCACAGTAGCGTAATTGCTTTGTAAACAAATTCCCTGGGGTAATCGGCTTTTAAGGGGTGGGATCTCCAAAATTTAACTCGATCAGACTGACAGGGTTTCTCTGTCACATGTGGCAGCTTCCTACATCTACTTCGTTCAATATTGAAGCGACATTTACTCTCTGATGGTGGGCTTGTGCTGCAAATGTTCTAATGTTGTCCATCATATTTGTGGAAAAATTTGTCTATTCTGTCTGCTTAACTTTGATGCCAAGTTACATGTATCTCAAAGTCCTTAGTTTCTTAAATCAAGTGTTGATGCCTGTGTAAATGATGTCTTCGGTGGTCTTGCCAGGTCATCTAGCATGCTCTCACAACACCAAGAAGCGATGAACCTGAAGCGTCCCTTCAGGAGTTGGCATCAAGAGGCAGCATAGGTCTGAGTTGCAACAGCTGCTGTCAGAAACCAAAGAAAAGAGTGGAACTCTACAAAAGAAACAAAATCAATGCCGATGCTGATCATGCGAATGAACATTTCGCAGACTCGAATCCAACCTTGCTGGAACAAGAGAAAGTACAAAAGTTCACTTGGATGAGTTTGAGAAGGATTTAAGAAGTGCAGAAGAAGAGAGGAGAATGTGAGCTGAAGACATGAACATTTTCCAAAAGAATGTGGAGCCTTCGTGCGGATGTGTAGAGGCTAAGCAAGAGTCTAGAAGAAAAGGTTGTTAAGAACACAGGAATGGATGCAGCAGGGTAGATGCATTGGAGCCAAAGCCAGAGCTTTGGACGAGTGGACAGAAACATGAACTTGCGGAGTTAGATGAATTACGAACATTTCAACGATCTCAAAGCAGGTGACTGGTTAAATGGTGTACAAAAGTTGAGGACAAGTTCAAAACGGAATTCAGGAGTTGAAGGATAGAATAGATGTGCAGGATGAAAATCCAGGTGGAGGCCGAACTGAAATGTCAAAGCACAAGCCAGAAGAGGCTTGAAGCTTTGAAAGCATCTCAGAATGCTGCTGGAGGATGTGTAGAAAGCCGGCAGGAACAGGAGGAGAACCTGGTGAAGGATTTGGACATTAGAGAAGGAGCTGAAGATACGAGACCATAGTCGAAACTCATCAGTCAGCTTTGGAGTGAGGTTGGTGGAAAACACAAACATGAACTTCTACAGTTACAGAATAGTCTCAGGGACAAAGACAGCACTTCACATGGCGTGACAAACGGAATTTTTTACATGATTTATATGAAATCACCCAGTTAATTAAACGTAATATTCATGGTGTAATAACTTGATTGGATTTTAAGAAAAAACAGATATGTCTTATGAATGATCCTTAGTCTGAAGCCTTTTTGTCGAAGGCGCAATTGTTATTTGTGTTTTACAAAAGAACCATTCCTCCTCTGCAGTGGAATCAAAGAAAAGTGGTTAAGTTTCAACGAGCTTGCCTAGCTTTAGTGAAAATATATCTGTATATGTGTTCGGGTCATAGCAGGGCTGAGAAAGCAGTTTAAGTAAACTTGAATATTATTACGTCCCTTTTAGCTATACTGAATATAACAAACCCTAGTAGAAGGTCAGCGTCATCAACCTATGAGTGACCTATGACCGTCAATCAAACTGAAGACTGTGAACAAATTTAACCAATCAGACAGCGGCTACTTGTTAAGGTTAAGTAGGGACTTACAAAATGTTTTAGTTTTCTCTTCCCAGTAAGCGACACTGATCTCAACAACAAAATCCGGTATAAAACACAAATATTGGACCCACCTGCAGTATATACGCTTATGGGTTTCTAATGACATATTTACTGGCCAAAAAGCTTATATTTTTATGAATGACATCCTGGACTATTAGCGGCAGCTATTTTTCATGACTATTTACTCATTGTTGCAAATAATGGCGTCCTCCATAGTAATATCCTTTCGGGAAGCTGTCGAGTGAGGAAAAATAGCATTCAGAATCATTGAGTTTTAGATAAAAGGTTCCAAACGAGTAATATTGCGAAGATATTGCTTTCACCACAGCGATTTGGTAGGCTGTGTTCCTGATTGGTTAATCCAAAAAGGTTAGCTGGCCGCAACCTTCTACTAGGGTTTGTTAAGACGGTACATAGCAGTGCAACGAATAATACTGAGCCTAAGTTTACTTGACTGGCTAGGAAAGGTATTCAGTAACAATGTTTGGAAAGATGGCTAGTGATAACACTTAATGAAGAAGCGGGTGTAGCCATAAACATGCTTTGGAAGAAACAGTTCATATATACTGGTAACCTGCTTTGATGATGGAAACACTGGTAGAAACAGGTAATATATGTCCAATATAGAGAAACATTTGTAAATGAAATAAGTATATATTCAACAGAAACAATCATTGTGGTTGGATTAACAACAAATACACATAGGTAACAACATGTAAACATGCACTGAAGAAACAAGAAGTAAATATACAGTTGTAACTTGCTTTGAAGAACAGGTTGTATGTTCATGGATAATGTTAGTGGAGAAACACATAGAGTAAATAGACGAAGTATGTATGTTTAACAATTAAAATTACCTGTTAAAAGGAAAATATGCATAAAACTGTTTGTTACACAGACAAGCAAACATATACATTTACATAAGGCAGGTAATATATCTTAAACATTGTACATTTTATAAAATGGGTAAGTATACATGCGCCAGTGTTTTACAAACAAGTGGGGTGCAATACGAAGAAATAATGTGTTGAAAAACAGAAATGAAATACATTCTACATTGAATGGAATGGTATCTAATATATACATGGGCAACAAAACATTTTAGATACACTGGGCTACCCTCAAAATTGAACATACACGAAATTTACTGATAGCATGCAGTGGGGTTCTAGTTCATAGTAATTTTACGCTTCACTACCACTAGATCTGGTAATCATACGAATTGCAAAATAAGTTGGCAAACTAAATGATCATTAGATCATTTGACATATCATCTTTTCGTGGAGCAAACAGATTACTTTGATATACTTGAGATGAATAGATATTTTTTGGAAGCAATGAAATAGTTTGAAACCATGAGGATTAAATCATCGAACATATTTGAAATGATCTTGAAGTTATGAAATCTTGTGTCGTGACAGATAGACAACACTCTGTTTGATAACTTTGCTGACCTTGTCTCTCAGTTATCAGAACAACAGGCTGAGGTGAAGGTTGTCCACAAGGCTACGGGGATGTTGAGACAGATCTATCATAATGACAGAGCGATGTGCGGAACAGGCTGCCGAGATGCTGAAATTAAGTAAAATTAGATGCAAATCCTTCAAGACAAAGCCATCTTCATGTCACAGTAAGGATACACACAAAATTAGCGTGCATGTTGATCTTTTTCCTCAAACTCCTTCTTATAAAAGAGCTGATATTATTTTATGGTACTAGCCCTATTCAATTTTCAAAAACATTCCTACTCTACTACTGTTAAGACTGCAAGAGTTATGCATGAGACATCAACCCGATGACTTGATCCACATGAATGAACTATACATGGTAAAATTTAGATCTGAGACGCTGGCACAATTCATCACGGATATCAAAGATAGATATGTTGGTATTAAATGGAAATATTAGAACTTTTAATCTTGTATTTATGCATTAATGTGAAGTCATTGACACCAATAACTGATACCCTGAGCCAGCGTGAAGAAAATTTCTTTGATTCAATCATCTCCCTAATCATCCATGATAATGCTGTATGTCTGTGTATATCTACTGATAGTAGTAGATAGCAGAGTTTAGTTCTGGTACCCTTTTTCTCACAGGTGGGTAGTAATAGATCTTTCAAAAAGAGGCGTGCATGGAAACTAATGTGCTGGGTAGTGGAATGATTAATAGTGACATTCTGTATGTACGAAAAGCTGATCGAGAGCTGAAGCCACCATCCTTCAGAAGAGTAATTACCAATGTCAGAGCGAGCTCAGGTCACAAGTTTCCAAGTTGAAGGGAATAGGCTGGCATGGTTGGAGTCAGAGGAAGAACTTGAAGGTAAAAACAGAACCTTTCAGAAGAACAGCAGTCACAGCTGAAGTCTTTAGAACAGGTAGGGGCCAAAAAATGGTGATTGATGCAGCAGGGCATTCTCTAATGAATGTGTCTTATTGGAGGCAGATTGTAGAATGATTGCAGTAGATGTTAAGCAGAGTTATCTCCCTTAGTAACTGTTGCTGCAGTTGCCTTCACAATGGGAAACATGTTGGATGAATAATTTTGACTGAAATTATTTTTATCACTGATGATTAGACAGTCATTTGACTAAAAATACTTTTTCCTTGATGTAGGATGGAATTTTAATTTCCAAAATGAATTGTTTATGTTGTGACTGACATGTAAATTTAGCATTAAATTACATAAAACTTAGAGGTCAGATCAATCCATTATAGCCTGTCCACAATTGCAGATGAAGGGGGTGCTAAAGTCGTAATTATTTTGCAGTTTTGACTACTGGTCTATGATTCTTAATTGCATTATGGTAGGTGAGTCTTGGTGAGACCCTGAGTTACAATGGGTCTCCATCACTTGATAGTAGTGTTAGAGGCAACTAATTTGCATTGAGTACCAGGCTGTGCGACTTGGCCCAGTGCTTGATGGAATTACATAATTGTTTAAGTGTGTTTATTAAATCAAGCTGCTGACATATGAGTCCTAGTATCCAGTGCCAACAAATGTTTGGCCTTCATCCCAATAATTATTCATGAATCGTTGCTCATGCTGTAAACCACTAGTTCTCACTGGCCCTATTCGAGACCACGATGATAAAGCTGTAATATGTCCTAACTGTGCAGTTAGGCGCCAAATCTGGAGCCCTGCCCAAATGTTACTGGTGTCTTTTGATCCTGGAAGACTTGTCTATAAGAGAAGCAGACCCTGCAGCAGGAGACTGGAAGGCGTGAGACCAGAGTCTGCAGGAGAAGTACCAGCACAAGGAGAAGCAGCTGGCCGGCCTGCAGCTGCAGTAATACTCTCAAAGAGAACACCAGGAACAGATGGACCAACAAAGGGCAGCTGCTGTGGAGGTCCTGGAACAGACTAAACAGGTGGGTGGACAACATGTCAGGAATGTTGCCACATGAGATCTGTTTCATGTGATGAGACTGATGTTAGAAAGAACATGATCAATGAAAATAGAAAGTCCCAATTCCAGAAGCTCAGTGGTTTGTACCTAAGCCCCTAACATCCCTGACATGGAATTTGTCATTCGATGGGAATCGATAGTCATTAGGATCATCTTGCCAAGGGTTTGACCTTTCACATTTTAAAGATTTTTTCACATATATAGAGGGAGAATACTACGCTCCGGTCTCATTACATACAAATTATCTGCGAAGCAGTGTCCTTAGCTTCTATGGTGTCTGACCCGAGCTGGCGAGGTCAGAAATATAGAAAGATCTGGATTTAAAGTATAGTCGTATAATTAGTAATGAGACCCGAGTGTGTGTTATTACATACCATCGTGCTTGTATTAAATTGACATAATAGCATCGTATTTCTGTTATTGTTTCAAACCCGAAACGGTTTCATAAAGAGGTTCTTGGAGGAAGAAATTTTACATTTCTGTAGTACACTTTTGCATGGCGTCGCACTGTATTGGCGTCCTCACGAC